GCCAGCACAAATCACCGTGTGTCAGCTTGTTTTACAATCCAGTGTTTTGGCTGTTTCGGCTTTTAATTAGAAAGTCTTTCCCTTAGCATTTTTCTTAGCAGCAATTTTTAAACTAAACAGAAGGTGTATTCCCCAGTGCCATATGTTAAACCTGACACGTTACTGAAAATGTCTTCTGGGAAAAAAAAACCAACCCCAACCCCAACCCAAAACCCACTAAAGGCAGGACCACTGTCCCAATCCACTCCCTTTGGCCCCTGTGCAAGCCTCAAGAGGACGCTACGGACCACTGTTAGGTAGCGGCACTTCTTTGAGGAATTAGTCGTAACCTACAAAGCCAGCGGATGATACGGTGCTAATTCCTTCTTTGCTTCTCCAGTAACCTGTTGTGGCTTGGGAACCATCGTCCCCCAGTCATCCGCTGCTTGGTCTTGTAAGGAACAGCCACGTGGAAGCTGGGTCTGTGGGAAGTGACTAGTTCGTAATACTTTGAGATGTCAGCTTATTGATGTGTTTTGAGCAATGTTAGCAGGCTCTGAAGTGTAGTCCATTTTAGCACTTAAACAGAAGGGATTAAGAGCTATGGGTATCCTTGACTTTGAAGTACGCAAGGAGAATCCAACTACGACCACAGAAATGCCTGACTGAGGCTGAAGGGGTTGGTGGAGCACTGACTGATGTGGGCTGATGCCATCTTTTCCCCTTGTAATTCCTCCCTGTATAAATTCCAGTTGTTTCTGGGCTTTGGATGGAAGGATGTTTTCTGACCCCTTTACTAAGGTGGGGTTTTTTTGCGTGAGTGTGGTCAGTACGATAAAGTTTGTCTGTAAACTTTTGATATACCCAGAGGAATGAAGGATGGATCACTCAGGTTAAAAAGCAGAAAAAGTTAGGCAGCCTTGGAAAACTGTAACATGCCGATCCTCTGTTTGGATGAACTGTACCCAGCTGCATGATATACAGTAGGGTTGCTCATTTATAGAGCTTTTCTTCCAAGACTGTAAAGCACCAGTGTGAATACTGAGAGGTGTTTGTGTGCAATCTTAACATAACATAAACCACAGCTTTATGGGGGTCCCTCATCAGCTCTCTGCTGGCCACAGTATAAACTGGCATAGAATTGGAAACTGCGCTGCCTGAAGTTTATCCATGTTTCTTCTGATACTTGCCTAGGGAGGGCCATCTCTATAGCAATTCAGTTAAGGTGAGGCACGCTCTTTTATTTTGTATGAGTAACTGAAACCCTACCCTATAAGCTCATAAAATGAGATTGCATACAAGATGTTGATGGCCTAGGGGAAGTTTTGAACAACTGGGAGTCATTATGAGGATTTTGCTGAAAAAATGATCCATGATCTGATGTATTTTCCAACAGTCTTTGCAGAAAGACCAAAGGAGTCGCAAGCTTCAGAGGCAATACCCATGAAATCCATGTCTACGCTTGTAACTGTGGACAAATGAAAAAAACTAAGAATTTTTCCCAGATGTACACAAGTTGTTTCTTGGGAGTCCCGTGCTTTTGTAATTTCTCATCAAAATGGCTATATGTAACAACCTGTACACAGAACTACTTGCGGAGAGTAGCATCTGAGAACAAATTAGTAAGTTAATACCTCCTTTGACCTGTACCTTGTCAAGCTACATTTTAGAAACCCATCATTACTAATATGAAGAAGAGGTTAATCTAGAAATGTGCAGGTTTAGAATGATGGATGAGTTGAGGCACATGAGCTATTTAACACAGTACCTAGCAGCACCTTCGTATCGTATGTCTCCAGACTGACAAGAAGCCCAAGGAGGGGTGGGGGGTGTGTGTGTGCAAACCTCTCGATGCTTTGTTTGAGTAATGGGACCAAAGTTGGAGGTGAATATAAACAGCCTTAACTCCCGTCACTCATGCCTTGCTCCAGTATTTTGACTGCGCTATTTCAACTTGGCTTAAACGGAATTAGCCTCACGGCTTCTTACCAGCATGCACCTTAAATCTTTTACATACCCTCTCCGATACCGACCCTTCAATTTATAGACTAATATTGTCAAAGGTGAGTTGTGTGACTGACTCCCTCAGCTGGTTTTGGAAGATCTCGGCCTGGAGAGTTACATACTTGTTATCTGTATATCGAGAAGGCCAGAATGACGCTCCTGTGCTGTCACCTGTGGCTGTACATCCCTCTTTAAACGTGGCAGAGCTGGTTAGCCCAACTGCCTGGCACTCACCGCCTTTCTGAGAAGGCTTCAACAAACACCTTAACCAGTGAAACTTGTAACTGTTCAATTGTATTTACTTAAAAATGTGATTAAAAGTGAAAAATATTTATAAATGACGCTCAAACTGTTCCACCGTATTCCAGGCTACTTCTACTCTTGAAGCACATCTTTGCCTGCATGTGTCCCTGCGCTGCTGATGGGAACAAACATAACTTAAAAACCATTGCAGAAAGCGATAGAGGGAAACACTGCCTGTTTTACTAATGCCTGATACTGACAGCCTGCATACAAAATCTCAAAAGCACTCAGGCACTTCTTTTGTGCCCACTTTTAAAGGGTTTAATGAAACATATAGAAACTGACATTTTAAACCTGTAGCTTTGGATGTTATTTTGCAGTGTCAGTTTGTTCCTTTTTTTTCCAAATCACATAGCAATAGTTTTCTACCTTTCTGCCTCAAACTTCACTCAGCAAATAATGAAGGTAATAAAACGTTTCTGTTCTTTGGCCTGTTGTAACAGGTGGGCAGCCAAATAAGGCTGCAGTAAATAGGTGGCAACGCTAGTTACGGAGCAAAAGCTTAGTCCTCCTAGGACATACCAGCACAATTAGCAAGCGTATCGCCATACTTATAATTAAGAATAGTTAAGATTACAAGCCTTTGTTAGACTGTGCTGCAAGATAAAAACAAAGGCTCAATTCCTTCCAGGGAGAGCAGACCTAGATGTAATCCTTATACAGGAATATATAAGTGAAATGTAAGGAGTAGACAAGGAAACCGGTTAATTCCTTAGACTTAAACTGGTATTCCTCAGACTTAAACTGGTTTGAGTGTCAGTAAATGATCATTCATATTCTGCAACAGCATGTGAAGTCATGTAGCATTCCTAGAAGATGTAGTAGTTTGAGGGAAAACAGAGATCAGGCATTCCTTCGGGAAGCAAAATGACTAATATATCACATTTCATGAAACTCCGTCGATTTGCTTATCTTTTTCCCCTTCACTATGGAAAATAAGGCCCTTATTCTGCAAATTGTTATGTACGCATTTAACTTGACGTACAGCGTATATTCCCATAGATTCCACAGGGCTGAATGCCGTGGATGTGTTCTGCTGTAACTGCTTACAAGACTGGAGCTAAAGAGCTTCAAACCAGAAAACGAACGGAGATAGTTTTTGAAGTATGGAAGCAAAATAAGGGGAAGAGGGATGCTTTCCGACGTGGATCTAGATCCTCGCCGCGTACAGTAATCCTGTGTATCTGCAGTCCCTAGGTGCAAAACTTTGAGGGAGGGTGGAAGAAGTGGGCTTGGATTCGGTAATTCGGTTTTCCAGAGCCGGGTTCGCTCCCAGGACCACTCGAGCCACGTGTTGGCGCGTTACCCCAGGCAGCATCGAACTCATCCTAAAATCCCTCCAACCCCGAAGCGTGGGCAGGAGGGAGAAGGCTGTCCGGGGGCCACCGAGGAACGGCAGGGGATTTCGGAAAGTCCCAGCCGACACTTAACAGAGTGATTTTTTCGCGGCGTATTAATCCTATCGATTTAAGTAGGAGGATTTATCCCCTTTTCGGCTCCATCCCCGCGTTAGTAGGACAGCGCTATCGCCGTCCAAACGCGGAGCCGGCGGCTTTTTTTCATTAAAACACCCCGCGTCAATACGAGGCAGCGCCGGCGTTCAATATTTCCGCGGAGACCCCGCAATCCCGGGCAGTCCCGCTCCTCGGAGCCTTTTTTGCAGCCGCCCCGTCCCCCCTTTCCAGCCCCGGTTCTCGCCCTCCGGGGCCGG